AGAGGGGAAAGGAACAGCTATGGGTCTTTCACTGCAGAAAGCTATTTTCTCTGTAGATATGAATAGAATGCCAGCAATTGGACCCGCTGTTGTGTACAAATAACACTGTGATGCCTTTAGCAACTTCTCTCCTTCGTTTACATTAAACATATGCTTGAATATATTCCTTCTCCCTCCTTCTTTCACTATTTTCAGCTTCCCCTTCACCGTTTCTGAAAATTTAGGCCCCAACTTCACTGCAACACATCAAAATAGGAAAATGTTTTTATTTTTTTCTTAAAGAATGAAAAAAAAAAAAGGAATGAATTAAATATATACACATACCATGCTCACGAATTCTGTATGCATAACTTCTTGCCTTCTTTCCCAATTTCCTCTTCTGAATAATAATAGCAGAATCATCTTGACCTGTAATTAATACATAAAAAAGTTAACAAAATGATCCTTAATTTAATTTGTTTATTCTTTCTTTAGTTTTCCTGTTTGTAAATTATGAGAATGATTTTGGACATACTTGGAGTAACGCTCGGGGAGTAATTATCATCAGAAGAAGGACTGTGAAGAGAGCTGAGATTTTCAGAATCTTGAGAAAAAGAAGAATGCCTTTCTGGATCAGTAGTTGACGTCCCAAAGGAGAAGCTCATGGCCGAAGAGCTGCCACAATAATTTTGTTGATCTTCAAATTGGTAATGATTTTCCTTCATGTTTGAGTATTTTTGTGTTCAGAGAATAATGTGAAAGTATTTGAAAAGTAGAATATAAGTGATTTGCATGTGAAAGTAGGAGGAAAGTGGTAAGGAATGAGCATATTTAAATGGCTGGTCGGCCACACAGTACTCAGTTAGATAAGAATCTTAACTGCCCCCACCGTTTAGTTTAGCTCAACTTGGACTATAATAATACTACATCCAGCCAAAAAATAACTCCAGTTTTTGGAAGATTCTTTTTATTTACTCTTTTTACTTTTTCCAAGTTGGGGCAGTCTTCTGGAAATTATACAATTGCTTTACTTAAATCTTATATTAATTACTTAATTTTTCTAACTTTTTTGGTAGAACAAGATAATTTTATTTAATACTTAGTAGTAGCATTACACACCATAGATATCTCATTGTGATTTACAGAAGCATAATAACAACTAATAGTTGTCCCATTGGGATCATTAGGCCTAGTAGTAATACTAGAGTTACTGGTGTCATATGTATGACGCAAATATTGTATATTCTTTTGACTTACGAACTTTTGTTTACGCCTCAACTATTTCAACCCATATATATATCCTATTAATATTGTAACATTTTCTTTTTTTTTTTTCTTTGTCCTCCTCATGCCTTACGAACTTTGGAATATAATTATGATTGCTCAAATGTGTACCGGAGGTGAAACTGCATGTCTGCATCTCTGGGAAAAGATAAACAATACACTGATCACATACACACTTCGCTCAATAAACAGTACATATAACATGTGTAACAAGGTTAGGCACTTAATTTGACGTCAATTAATAACTGTAGTATGTAAGGAAAAAAGATCATCTTTTGTCCAAAGAAAAAGCCAAAAAAGAAAGTCGAACGAAAAGGCGAAGAACATATATTATATATAACAAAAATAAACAACTACACTGTCAAGTATCAACATAGTACTAACAGAGATACATATGTCACATCCAAGGAAACAAAAAATTGATAAGACCAGCTGAAATAGTTACGTTAGCAGCCACCAACTTGGAAAATACTAAAATTGTGGAAAACCCTAACACAAAATGCATATCTAAAATTCTAGAAAGACCACAAAATTGACTTGCTTTCTTTCAAATTTCGTCTAATACGCTACCAAATATCCATACCTCAGTCACATTCGAGCTTTTGTTCTTGTATGGCTTGACGGGCTCACCAGCCATTCTTTCCTTGGCAGCTCTCTACATTAACTCGATGGTATCTTCACGAGATGCAGAAAACTTGAATATTCAAATTAATTAGCATGGCTGCTTTACCACCTAGTTTGAGATTAAGTAACTACTACTTTGTGATGAAAACATAACTAAGTTATAAATAAAAGTGCTTTCTCTAACATAATTTTAATTTTTAGATGAACACATACACACTTTATACGGTATAAATTTAAGTTTCATCCTCACCAACTATGAAACAATATTTTCACGTTCATGTTTTTCCTTTTTATATATCTTAATTTGCAACCTTGGGGCAAAGGCACCATGGATTCAAGCGTGTGACCAGGGGCGGAGGCACAGTACCAGATGTGGGTTCAGCCGAACCCGATAACTTTTGTTTAAACCATGTATTTGTCTTAAGAAATCCATTGAATATGTAAAAAATTTATTAATTTAGAACCGAGTGACTAGAAAGGATTACAATCTCGAACCCATAAGGTTCAAATCTTGGCTTCGCCTCTGCGTGTGACAATGTGACATTGTTTAATCTCGATCTTTGGGATCATGTTGTTGTTACTTCTCTTGGGATTTCTTTTTTTTTTTTTTTTTTTTTTTTATGTTGGTGCCACAATATAATAAATATTATAAAATAAAAGTAATTTAGTAAAACATGAACAAGAACGTGTTATGAAATAAAAGCAATTTAGTAAAACATGAACAAGAAATGGAGATAGAGAGAAGG